TTTTTGTAAATCGTAAATTCCCTTCTCTTTCTTTATTTTCTACTTTTTTTTTTTTCGTTAATTTCATTATTTTTTTATTTTTCTTCGTTATTTCATCATTAAAAATTATTCATTTCATTGGTTTATGTTTTAAGGTATTAATTAATGGTCAAATGACCAGGTTAATCAATAATAATTAAAAATTTTTATAAAAAAAAAAACTATATATTTATATTTGCTTATTTGCTTTGCGCTTTCTCAACCAGGATGGCCTTTTGCGCGTAAAGTTAACTAAATTATTTAGAACAATATTCAACTAATTATACAATAGATATTGTTTATTTATTATTGGTTTGTAAAAATTATTATGTTTTTTTTCATTTACTTATTTTTATTTTTATTTTTTTTAAAAAAAGAAAATGCATTATTAATAAAACATTGTTAACAAAAAACATTGTGTCTTTTATAGATTATCCAATTAGTTTATTAAATCGCTTTATTTATTTATTTATTTGTTTGTTTGTTTGTTTGTTTTTCTTCTCTCTCTCTCTCTCTCTCTCTTCTTTCCCACTCCAATCAATCCATTTCGTTTAATTTCGTTCATCATTCGTTTTCGCCCCCTGCAATCATCATTTATTAATTATTTCCAAAAAAAGAAAATCATGTTGGTTGAATTCATCATATTACCGTATATATATTATCATTTGAAAACAATTATCAATCATCGTATTCTTCTTAAAAGCCTTGTCTCAAATTCACAAATCCATCAGATTCAATTTTTTGGGCTGAACAAAAATATTTATGCAAAATATTTAAACATTACGTCTATTAAATTATGTCATAAGGTTACGAATAACCTATTTATTTGTTCAAATGATGATGCACGTGGAATAATTAAATTGGTGAGTGGAATTTTTCAACACTTTAAACTGATTTGTTTATTAAAAGTAAGGTTTTTATGATGATTAATTTACATATAATCTTATTTAAAAAAGTCAAAAAATTACGATTGTTTAACATGCGAGATTTACAATCATGGTAAGTGGGTAATTATTTTTATATATGATTTTTTTTTTAAAGTTTTAGGTGTGAGATTTTTTTTAATTTATGTTAGTAATTTTTAATTAGAAATATTTATATGCTGCTGATCAATGAAGTGTGGGGTAACTTTTGCCGATTATGAAGTTTATCCCCCTTTAAGTTTTTTTTTTTTTATATTTTTAAAAAAAGAAAAAAAAAACTCGTTTTTTTATAATAATTGATTTAATTGTTCCTTTTATCTATTGTTCTTTATTCAGTTATATTACTTTTACCAAATCCAACATGAAAATCAGCGCATCAATCAATTACTATTAGTTTATGTTAATTACCAATTACCAGGAAATTTTAATTCTTCTTTATCTTGGGATGTGATATGTAAGATAAGTATAATCATATTTATCATTTGAAGATTTACATTATTTTAATATTTTATGCAATATAAAAAACGCCATTCATCTATTTTTATTATTTTTTTTTTTGTGAAACAAAATTTTAACAAACATCAGAGCATGAGCACGAGCCTACTTATTGGTGTTACTCTGTAGAATTTGAAGGTTTGATTTTTTTTTTTTCCCTGACAGCTTAAACTTAAAAAGGTAATTATTTCTTGGTCACTTGAGGTCACTTGTAAAAGAAAGCGCGGTAACTTTAAGTTTATTGGTGTGATTAATTATTGGTATTTATAATTTAGGACAATCGGATCTTTGATATTTGGAATATTCTAATATTCTTGATCGGATTAGTTTATGGTTAATTAGATAATAGGTAGATAATAGGTAGAATATAGGTAAAATATTGGATAATAGGTAGAATATAGGTAGAATAGTAGAATATTGGATAATAAGTTATTGGATAATAGGTAAATTATTGGATAATAGAGTAAAATATTGGATAATAGAGTAAAATATTGGATAATAGAGTAAAATATTGGATAATAGGTAGAATTTAGGTCAATTAATGTCAATAAGTAATGTCAATAATGTCAATAAGTAATGTCAATAAGGTTAGTAATATTTTCATCATTTTTTGTGAAATTGAAATTTCGATTGAAAAAATTATAGGCATATGTTTTGATTCATTTGTGAAAACGATACAATCGATACATGTACATGTTACGTGATGATTTTGATCTGGGGTATCGGCATCTTTTATGACGTAATATTACTTTATCAAAAAATTTTCTTTATGGTTAGGACAATTTGTTAAATTATACCATACTAATGTACATTAATGTACTTTGTATGTATGGATCGGGATTTACTAATGAATTGGGGAAATTATACTTGATTTGTTATTATTGTGTAGAAAATCCAAGTTTGGGGTAATTAAGTATGGCGTTAGTGTACGATTTAGGAGGTATTATTAAATGTGGGTTCAAGTAAGTCCGTTCCTCCATTATTTATTATTATTTTTTTTTATTTATGCAAAATTATGTCATCAAATAAGCAAAAGCCATTTTCTTCTTTAACTCTACCCATTTTCTTTAACTCTACTTTGTTTCCTTTGTTCTTTTTTCGAGGTATCATTCTATTGATATTTGTTAAAATTTCCTACCTACTTACTTCCTACGTACTTTACTTTTTATGTACTTCTTACGTACTTACTTCTCATATACTTACTTCTTATGTACTTCTTACGTACTTATTTCTTACGTACTTACTTCTTATGTACGTACTTACATGTATACGAATTTTACTAAAAATCAATTATAGAAGTAGAATCTTACAAAAAAAACCAAATCCAATTGATTCACATTATATATATTTTTTTAGACCTTTGCTTTCTTGAGGAAACCTTATAATCGATAACCGAATTTCAAATTTCGATTTTCCTAGAATTAGACCACCAAATCCAATTGCATCACATTATATATTTTTTTTAGACCTTTGCTTTTTGAGGAAACCTTATAATCACGATTGTCGACAACCGAATTTCAAATTTCGATTTTCCTAGAATCAGACCACCAAATCCAATTGCATCACATTATATATTTTTTTTAGACCTTTGCTTTTTGAGGAAACCTTATAATCACGATTGTCGATAACCGAATTTCAAATTTCGATTTTCCTAGAATTAGACCACCAAATCCAATTGCATCTCATTATATATTTTTTTTAGACCTTTGCTTTTTGAGGAAACCTTATAATCACGATTGTCGAATAACCGAATTTCGAATCGATTTTCCTAGAATTGAGAACACCATCACATTATATATATTCTTTTTAGACCTTTGCTTTTTTGAGGAAACCTTATAATCACGATTGTCGAATAATCGAATTTCAAATCGATTTTCCTAGAATTGAGAACACCAAATCCAATTGCATCTATTTTGTCTAGACCTTTGCTTTTTTGAGGAAACCTTATAATCACGGTTGTCGATTGTCCGAATTTCAAATTTCGATTTTCCTAGAATTAGACCACCAAATCCGATTGCATCTATTTTTTTTAGACCTTTACTTTTTTGAGAAAATCTTATAATCACGATTGTCGATTGTCCGAATTTCAAATTAGAACACCAAATTCAATTGATTATTACTTACATCACATTATATATATATTTTTTAGACCTTCACTTCTTTGAGAAAACCTAATAATCACGATTGTCAATTGTCGACTGGTTAACCGAATTTCAAATTTGAGAACATAGAGAACATATATATAAAAAACATCATGTTACACAAAGGTATATAGATATCATAAATACGTATTCAGAATCCAGAATTTCAGGATTTTAACGCGTATGTATTTTTTTCGTATTTTTGTTTATTCTTTATTATTATTCTTTTCCATATTTTGCGGGTAAATCATGATTATTTATTACGATATTTTTGTATCACCCTTGAAAATCATATTTAAATAAATAGATTGGCGTATGTATATACCATACACATTGTATAAAACTTTGTCATGAATTTCATGAATTCAAAATTATTTAAAAATTCAAAATGTATCCAGTATTTTATAAAGGTATCATTTCCTTCGGGACATATTCATAATTCAAACCTTTACCTTTCTAAAAAATATTATTTGAAATATACAAGATTTTATTTTACGTCACCTAAAAAAAATTATAAATTTAATAATAATTTTAATCATTTTAATAATTTTAATCGAAATACAAATGATTCATTTCGATATAAAACGAATAAATTTTTCTATCAAAAAGATTCAATTATAATAAAAAATTGGCTTAGAATATTTAGGATAGAAAATTCATATCGTATCCTTTCAATAGTACCTTTTCATTTTAGTTTTTTACCAATTTTTTTGGATAAATCTGAGATTGATACTTCTAAAGAAGCGAAAGAATTAAATGAAGTACAAATTATAAATCATACAGAATCTTCCCCTAATTTAATAAAAAAATGTTTAAATTATATTTATAATTTTATATCTGATTATATTATCGAACCTATATTAATATCATGTCGATTTACTTATTTATTATGTATATTTTTACCTTTGATCATTGGTTCACCATTAATATTTTTTGGTAAAAGAGTTCCTGAATGTAATGATGAAAGAACAGGAACTCTCTGGTGGTACAATAAGTTGATGAGAAGCATGGAAATGGCCGGGCCAACATTTATCAAGGTTTGTGATGGCCCGTAAGAATTGATATTAATATCATGATATATTAATATCATGATTATTCAATTTTTTTTAATTAAAAAATATTAAATTAGTTGGGACAATGGGCTGCTTCAAGAACTGATATATTTCCTCAAGAGATGTGTATTCGTTTATCAAAACTTCATTCTGCCGTTGATCCACATCCATTTCATGAAACAAAAAGGGTTATTGAGAAAGCATTTAATAGACCTTTTGAAGAAATTTTTATTAATTTTGATATGGATCCGATTGGAATAGGTGCTATTGCACAGGCAAGGAAAAAAAATTTTATTTTTTTTTTAGATTTAATTATGAATTTTCAACGATTAATTAAATAAATTCTTTAATTAGGTTTATAAAGCTGTTATCCGATCTGAAGTTCTTCCAAATTCTTTTTTTAATGATGATTCTGATGAATCTGATGAATCTCGTCCTCCTATGGTAGCCATAAAAATTTTACATCCTTCTTCTGAAAATAATATACGTAGAGATTTAAAGATTTTGATGGTATTTGCAAAGATAATTAATGTAATTCCTACAATGCAATGGCTTTCATTTCCAGAAGAAGTTAAAATGTTTGGAAATATGATGCAAAAACAATTAGATTTAAGAATTGAAGCAACAAATTTATTAGAATTTCAAAAAAATTTCAATAATCGAAGTAGTATAAATTTTCCTAAACCTTTAATATTATATACTACAAAGAATATGTTAATTGAAGAATATGAAAGAGGGATAAATATTAAATTATTTCTTGATAATGGAGCTGGAATATTTGATCATATGATTGCAAATATGGGTAAATATTTATTATTTGTTTTGTAATATGTCAATATATGTTTATTTGTTGGTTTTGTGTTTATTTGTTGGTTTTGTAATATGTTATTTTATTTATTAAATATTTTTTATTTGTTTATTTTATTACCTATAGGACTTGATGCTTTTCTGGTAAGTTGAAAACAATTATTATCATTTCTAGTTATTGGATGGTGGAATAGAGATATCGTTCTTCGACCGATATCTCCAATAACTGTTATAGTTCGGTCATTAGGAATATTGCGGTGACCAATAGAACTAATACTATTTACAATATTGGATGTCGTAATCAGTATATTCCTAATCGACTGAGCAATAACTGAACAATAACTGAACAATAACTGAACAATAATTGAACAATAACTGAACAATAACTGAACAATAACAACAATTATTTATTTTTATTAATAATATTCTTTTTTTTTTATAGCATATGCTTATTCTTGATAATTTTGTACACGCTGATTTACATCCTGGGAACATAATGGTTAAATTTACAAAACAAAATACTTATAATGTATTAAAACAATTTTGGAGAAATTATACATCATCAGATGAACAAAAAGCGAAAATTAGAAGATATTATGATCGAGAATCAGATATTGCAATAGAAAGACTTTTATCAAAAAGAAATGATAAAACACTTTGGTTAGATGAATTAAAAAATTTATGTGAAGAAGGATATTTACCACAATTAATATTTTTAGATACAGGTTTAGTTACAAGTTTAAATGATGAAAATCGAAGAAATTTTTTAGATTTATTTCGTGCTATAGCAGAATTTAATGGTTATGAAGCTGGTAAATTAATGATTAATAGATGTAAAACTCCTAATTTAGTTATAGATGGAGAAATTTATGCATTAAAAATGCAACATTTAATTTTAACAATTAAATCTTTAACATTACAATTAGGTAAAATTAAAATTTCGGATATTTTGGTTAACGTATTACATATGGTTAGACAACATCATGTTAAATTAGAAGGTGATTTCGTTAATGTTATAATTTCTATATTATTATTAGAAGGTATAGGTAGACAATTAGATCCAACTATGGATTTATTAAAAAGTGCTTTACCTATATTACGTAAATTAGGTTCTAAAGGTGCTGGTAAAGGTGTTTTGGAAGGTATAAAAGATATTCCAGGTGGTAATGCTTGGTGGTTAAAAGTTTGGTTTTGGTTAGAAGCTAGAGAATGGGTTGATAATGCTTCATGGAATTATTATTCTTTATTATTTCATAGAAATGTTTCGTGGCCTGATATGTGATGGGAAAAGGAAAAAATGGAAATGTGAAAAATGGGAAATGGAAAACAGGAATTGGGAATGGAAATGGGAAATGGGAAATGGGAAATGGAAACAGGAATTGGGAATGGGAAATTGATAACGGAAACAGGAAATTGGGAATGGGAATGGGAAATGGAAGTGGATATGGAAAATGGGAAACTTTTTCACGTTAAATCGAAAAAAGGTTACTTCTAACCAGTTATAAAAGAAATCACAATGTAGAATCAGTAACTTTTGGGTAGAAAAATTTCATTACGTAAACCGTTTTATTAAAGAGAATTAATCATCAAATATTTTACGATTTTTTTTTAAAAAAATTTCTTTTTGTAAAAGTTAAACTATTTAATATTATAAAACAATTATAAAAATCGGTAAAAATTAAATAATTCAATTATTTAATCGGATAATTCAATTTATTTTTTAAATCTTTTTCTATTCTAATTCTGCTAGCTTCTTCCCATTCTAATTCAATCTGCTTTCTGTTTCCATTTTTCTTATCCTGCTTCCCGACAATTAGAAATTTTGGAATTATTTGAAATTTGAAAATTTGAAATATAGAATTATTTGGAAATTTGGAATTATTTTGAAAATTTGAAATTATTTATTTGTTTATTTGGAAACTCTCCATAATTCTTCAAATACCGGTAGTATAGATCACAATTTAAACACTTCCACATTTTCGTATGTAATGTGCAAAAAAAACTAAGGGCCGAAGGGTACGCGATAAATATTAACGTGATTTGTGTTACAAAATTCGTATTAACCATTTTAGGTATACTTGCATGAGTCGCGTTCGTTCAACAACTTTTATAACTTCTTTGAAAGCTTTTTTTTTCGTGTTTTTCGTGGTTATCCGTAATATTAATACCTCAATCGATAAATATACATATAAATATATTATAAAAATGACCGCTCCAGTTGGTTGGGATAAAGGACAAACTTATCATGCTGGTCTTCACCCAACAAGAATTGAAAAAGACTCGCGTACCTCACTTGAACTAAAGTTTTTAAACTTTCTAGATCAGTACCGTGTTGAAGAACTTTTTGTTTACAGGTAAATATCTTGTAATCATTATTTTCCTTGAAAATATTTATTTACCTGTGAGAAAAAAAAAAGAAAAAAGTTTGGTATTTATTATAAATCTTGTATAATTTTTTTTTTCATTCGTTACTCAGAGAAAAGATTAAAAGAAACTTTGAAGCTCGAAATTATTATGTCGATGTTCATATTGAACATCTTGACCTATATGATCGTCAATTTTCTGATAGATTAAAAGAAACACCTGCTGATTTATTACCTTTGGTAAATAAAACATTATAAAACTATTTAAACTATTTAAACTATTTAATGATAATTAATGTTAAATCCTCATTATTTGAATTCAAGTTTGAGTCTGCAGTACAAAAATTTGCCAGAAAACTCTTACAGGATGTTGAGGCTGAAATTCCATCCTTTCAAGTTGTGCTCCGTGCTCCACAAAAAGCAAATATCCTTATGCGTGAATTAAATGTAGGTTTCAAGATACACAGTGAAATTCGATATAATGGAACCATCCGTTCCATTAGTAAAATTTGTCAAAATCCGTTATATCGAGGGTAAATTAATTATAGATTATGATAAGACCCCAATTCCGATATATTAAGACTTTACTTATGTTCCATTATATCAAGGTTCCGGTATATCGAATTTCACTGTGTATTACTAAAGAATCATATCATAAAACATACATATCTTTGTAACCTATTTTAAACTTATTATTCAGGCAAATCACATTTCAAAACTTATTCGAATAACTGGAATAGTTATTTCAGCTACTAATTTAACTTCAAAGGCAACACATGTTCAAATCATGTGTAAAACTTGTCGTCATTTTAAGATGTTGCCGGTGGCTAGTGGATTTACAGGTGTTCAACTTCCTAGAACTTGTGATAGGTTTTTACCCATTTTTCTTTCTTAATAATTCTGTAATCATATTATTGAAATTTATTATTACATTATTCTTCCTCTAGTGACCCATCTGGAGTTGGTCCAAAAGACTGCGGACTAGATCCTTTTGTTATTATACATGATAGATGTACTTATGTGGACCAGCAAGTTCTAAAAATTCAAGAATCACCTGATTTTCTTCCGGTAGGAGATTTGCCAAGACATATAACCGTTTATTTGGATAGGTCTTTATTTTGCTTTTTAATCTTTTTAATCGTTGTCTTTATCATATAAAAAATCAATTTTTTAACATTGTTTCGCGTTAATCATTTATAAAAAAGATATTTGACTGATAAAGCAGTTCCAGGTAGACGCGTCAATATTGTAGGAATTTATGATGTCTTTAATAATAATAACTCTAACAAAGTAAGTTTAATAATATAGTAATTTCACTTTTTTATTACTTAATTAATTTCAATTTATGTCCGCAATTTATAGAAAAAAAATCAGGGTATTGGTACTCGTATTCCTTACATACGTGCTCTTGGTCTAGAGTTTGATATGGTTCAAGATGGACAGGGAACAGCAACTTTCACACATACCGAAGAAGAAGAAATAATTGCTATGTCACGTAGACCCAATTTTTATAAAACATTTATGAGTAGTATCGCACCATCGATTTATGGAAATCATGGTATATACGACGTTCCGGAAAAATTATAATAAGTCCTTCGCTATGCTTCGGACTAAATTATGAAATAACAGCAACTAAAAGTTTTATTTATTTATTTTTTGTTTTATTAGACATCAAAGACGCTATTACTTGTTTGCTTTTTGGTGGAAGTAAAAAAATCCTTGCGGATGGAATGAAATTAAGAGGGGATATAAATATATTATTATTAGGTGATCCCGGTACTGCTAAAAGTCAATTTTTGAAATTTGTTCAACAGGTTCGTAAATATAAATACTTTCCTGCGTTTTAAGATATATATCATCTAATTAAAACATTACACTATTTTTTAAGGTTGCGCCAGTTGCGGTTTATACTTCAGGGAAAGGAAGTAGTGCCGCGGGTCTTACAGCTGCTGTAGTACGGGATGGTCCAAGTGTAAGAATATTATTTCATATAAAATCTCTGGTTTTTATAGTTATTTTATTATTAATTATTAATTTAAATTATATTTAGCGCGAATTTCGTCTGGAAGGTGGTGCGATGGTATTAGCAGATGGTGGTGTAATATGCATCGATGAATTTGATAAAATGCGTGAAGAAGATCGGGTAGCTATTCACGAAGCAATGGAACAACAAACCATATCCATCGCTAAAGCTGGAATAACCACAATATTGAATTCTCGTACGTCAATATTAGCAGCTGCTAATCCTATAAAAGGCCGGTATGATGATACGAAAGCGCCTAATGAAGTAAAAAAAAGAAATTTCCTTTTTTTCAATTTTTAATTGATTAAAAGCATTTGTTTATATTTTGTTATTTGTTCATTCCTAGAATATCGATTTTCAAGCCACAATTTTATCAAGATTTGACATGATTTTTATCGTAAAAGATGGTCATGATGAAATGAGAGATAAAGTAATTGACATAATCCAAAATTTAATTGAAATAGTATATTTTAACACTTTCATTAGCTTTTTAACTGATATAATCTTATATCAATGGTACAGGATATAGCTAGGCATGTAATGATGGTACACATGAACCGTGCAGCACCAGAATCTTCAGCTGGTGAAATTGATATTGCAAAAATGAAGAAATATATCAGTTATGCTAGAACGTAAGTGTATTTATTGTATTTATCCTCTTGAAAACATATATTTGATATTCTGATCTAAAATATATCAATCTTTATAGGAGATGCGCGCCGCGTATATCTCCAGAAGCTTCAGAAAAATTAAGTAACTATTTTGTAAAGATTCGTGCCGAAGCTAGTCGTGCGGATCAAAATAAACATGGTCACTCCTCAATTCCTATTACTATCAGGTACTTGTTATAACTATTATTTACCGGATAGATCAGGATTAATGCGGTATATTTCCGCGTCCCATAAAGATGTCAACGCAAATAATAATCTGAAAGATTATGCTCCTAATCGGCTAAACAATAATGAAAATTTTAATCCTTTCTATCTATTAGACAGCTGGAAGCTATTGTTCGAATTTCTGAATCAATAGCAAAAGTTACGTTATCTCCACGCGTAGCTGGACAACATGTTGATCATGCAATCCGTTTATTCAAAAATTCTACTATGAGTGCTCTGTCTTCCACCGATAGTAAGATATTTTTATTATTATCGGTAATTAAGTTTATTATGTTACATACTCTTAAATAATTAATTTATATTTTTAGTTCCTGGAATGCATCATTCTGAAGCAAGAAGACAAATTGAGATAGTCGAAGAGGAAATTAAACGTCGTATTGCCATAGGTTCAAGGGCTTCTACACAACGTATAATTAAAGAATTTGAAAGAGTATGTATTTATACGTATTTATACGTTTTCTTAAAAAATTTAACATTTTACAAAAAATGAAACATATGTTAATTTTTTTAAAATTTTTCACAAAGCAATTTAAACCAGAAGTCGTACAACGTGCCATTGATATACTAGCAAGACGCGAAGTACTTCAATACAGGAATCAAAGAAAAGTTATTTTAAGGATAGGGGCAAATTAAAAAGAAAAAAATAAAAATAATAAAGGTTTTATTTTTTAATAAAAAATTTTATTTTTATCATACACAACCTGGGTAAAAAATATGGCAGGAATTACCATTAATTTGGCAGGAATTAAAGTGATATAATTCATTAAAAAAATTACGGCCTAATTAGGAAAATTTTCTAATTTCGGCCTAAATTATTATGTATATAAAAATCTCAATTATGATTTTATGGGACTAATTATACTTCAGACCGTAAAATGACTAGAGCAAACTTTACAAAAAAAAGGAATAAAATGATTAGTAAACTATTTAAAAACAACTGACCTGAACCTATAAAAAAAAAGAATAATAACCATTCCATAATACAAAAAAAATAAAAAAAGATTTGTAATACTTATAAATTTTTAGTTTTTTTCATTTTTTACATTTTTTAGAAGCCCACCCAAAACCTATAAAAAAAAAAAGAAAAATGGTCAACTTAGTAAACTATTCTATAATATTAAAAAAAAAAAATTATTTAAAATACTTATGAATTTTAGTTCTTTTTTGTTTTTCAGAAACTCATCCAAAAGTTATAAAAAAAGAAAAAGAACCATTAATAACCATTTCATAGTATTAAAAAAAAACTGATTCAGAATACTTACAAATCTTAGTTCTTTTTTATTCTTTGCCTTGTATCAAGTGTAGAATATAGTGAGACCTAAAGTTTCATTTAGATAAAATAAATCATGTCCTATATGAAAGTTTATATGGGCTGATTTGTCTCTTATCACTAATTAATTTTAGTGATAAATATGAATTATAATTAACATGCTAATCAAAATAACCTGAAAAAAGTGATAATAACAGATTATACATAATGATAATTTTATATTTAAACCAATCATTAGTATCTCAAACCCTGTCAGAAATTGGTCTGTAATTGGTTTTATTTAAAAGGAACTATTTTTTTGGATGGTAAGTAGTATATTAAAAATTTATTATATTCACTTAACAAACCTCTTTTGCTTTAAAACAATAAAAATGGCTGGAATAACCATTGCTGAAAGTAATATTTTTTTTTCAATAATGTAGGAAAGTTCAATAACATCCTTTTATTAATAACTACATTTTCTAATCATGTTTTTATACACAATTATCCAAAAAGTTCTAAAATTGAAGCATATTTTTGATTAAATAAATAATTATATATTTCATATTACAATATTATTTCTCTGGAAATCTATCCTTCTACACTGAAATTGATACAAAAATCTAATTGGCTCCATTCTTCTTTAACCGACGATACTCATGGTTTCATCACCTCTTGGGTTTTCTGAAGAGTCATCTGGAATCATATTCTGGCGGTTTGTAAGATCAGGTAGAATTTTCTGGATTTGGGTAGTTGATCTGAAACTTTGCTCTTTAAGGTTTAAAGTTGGGATATACAAGTTTGAGATTTATAGTTTAATTTACTTTTCTATATATACAAATTTGTGCGACTATTTCTTTTTGTTTTAGGTTTATTTAATTACTTTTCTTTTCATTGTATTTTGATTGAACAAAATTATAATTGACTAATAAAATGACTGTTAGCCTTTCAAATGTGAGTTGTATCAGTATTTTTAAGGGTCCTATAAGTACTCTAACATTCCAAAAACTCCTATTTGGCCTAGACTCCTATCAGTTAGTCAGTAATCTAAGCAACTCTTTAATTTTAGCTAAAAGTGTAAGTTTGTCATTACCATCTAAAGTTGCCTGCCAAAATTAGGGAGTTTCAGCATATCAAAATTGTCGAAACTATTTTGACATTTTGACATTGGCTCTCTGATTTGTCAAAATGCCAGAATAGTTTCAACATATTGAAATTGTCAAAACCTAAAAATATTACATTTCACGTAATAACTCGGCATCCAATAATCGTAGAAAGATGCACCATAGCTCGTTGGAATCGTCTCATAACGACGAGTCAAATGGTGATTAGATCGTCTTTCTACGATCACTGGATGCCAAGATATTGAGCGAAACGTCAAAAATTAGCATTTTGTATTTTGCGATATTGCACCATTTGACATTTTATGTAATAACTCGGCATCCAATGATCGTAGAAAGATGCACCATAGCTCATTGGGATCGTCTCATAACGACGAGTCGAATGGTGGTTAAATCATCTTTTTATGATTACTAGATGCCGAGATATTAAGCAAAACGTCAAAAATTGGCATTTTGTATTTTGTAATACTGCACCGTTTAACGTTTTACTTAATAACTCGGCATCCAATGATCGTAGAAAGATGCACCATAACTCGTTGGAATCGTCTCATAACGACGAGTTGAATGGTGGTTAAATCATCTTTTTGTGATCACTGGATGCCGAGATAATAGGCGAAACGTCAAACAGCGCAATATTGCAAAATACAAAATGCCAATTTTTGACATTTTGCTCAATATCTCAACATCCAGTAATCGTAGAAAGATGATTTATGGAGGTTGATCACCCTTTCTCAGTGGTAAGTGACTGAGACCCTCATTAAGCCTGAGTATGGTGAGGTTGCAGGTTCAATTCTGCTGATCACGGAAATTAAACGAATTTTTACTGCGGACGCTACAACCAATAGCATGAAGGTACAGGGATTAGCGTAGTTGGACTGCATCATGGTGAATTAGTGTGTATGGTTAGGCCGCATATTTCAACTAAGGGTTATGATGTCCTTCTAACGTTCCCTATGAGGCCATTGGCATGTGTGCAGTCATGTCCTTGAAATCACTACTATACCTTGGGGGGACTTCCTGTCCGGATGGTCACTCTACGATACCACTTGGGGTCAGTAATGGCTAGATGGTCATCCTAGATAGTAAAGCTGAGGGTGCAATGTCTTAGTGGTAGTTTGACCTTCTGTTAGGTCTTAGACCAATCAAGGTGTTTATGCACAGAACAGGTAGCATGGTTATGGGGTTCAATTTCCTACTCTTTGGATCCTGGTTGGTGATCCCTGGTGGTTGATACCCACCATAAGGGGTGATCCTGGACAGATGCCTGCTACTTCCTATCTGAGTGGTCACTACATAGTATACCACTTGGGGTAAACAACCGTACTATCAGTGCTGGGTAATCGCGGACTGTAGTGGCCTTTGAGTGATACCTCGTACCTAAATGATGGTATGGAAGGGTACTAGATAGTTGATGCTACCTGTCGAAAGTCCTCCATGAAAGTAGGTGCTTTCTAAAGGTCGTAAAATAAATTGAGTACCAGTATCATGCAATGGGTTTAAGGACGAGTAGGCGGTATATTTCTAGCTTCAGATCAGCCTTAAATGTGGCCCGATGGGGATGTCCTCATATTTGGTGCTGTCTGCTTGAGGAACAATAAGTACTCAGTGGTATGGTTACCCCTTGGGGATGATAGGATACTAGTCCGATGATGCTTCATAAGAAGTAGAGGGAGACTTAGCCGTAAAACTTTAGCAAAGTAGAAAAATGATTTATACCAGTATCATGCAATGGGTATAGGATGAGTAGGCGGTGTATTCCTAGCTTCAGATTAGCCTTAAAAGTGGCCTGATGAAGGATGTCTTTAATAGTGATGCTGTTACCTGAGGAATTAAGTACTCGGTATAATGGTTGCCCATGAAGATGATAGGATATTGACCCGAGACTAGTCTCATAAGAGGAGTGGGTGGTCTGGCCATAAACAATAGCAAAGTAGAAAGATGATTTAACCACCATTTGACTCGTTGTTATGAGATGATTCCAATAAGCTATGGTGCATCTTTCTACGATCATTGGATGCTGAGTTATTATGTGAAACATCAAATGGCACAGTATCGCAAAATACAAAATGCCAATTTTTGACGTTTTACTTAATATCTTGGCATCCAGTGATTGTAGAAAGACGATCTAACCCCATTCGACTCATCGTTATGAGATAATTTTAATGAGCTATAGTGCATTTTTCTACGATCATTGGATGTCGAGTTATTACATGAAATGTAATATTTTTAGGTTTTGACAATTTCAACATGTCGAAACTATTTTGGCATTTCAGCATTTTGACAGGTTTTAGTTTCGACATTTCAACAATAGCCTGTAGAGTTTTAGCAGGCAACTTTATTACCATCAAAGCCTTTATTTTTTGAAGTAAATTGCTTTTTTTTTTCTAAAGACTTTCCCTTCTGTTTCTATTTATCTAAGTTCTTTTGCAAAACATTCAGATTCTTGTTTTAGTTCTGCTTCTGAGTTCTGAGTAGAATCTGTCTTTTTTGGTGGCTTATTTCTAGACCAATTTAAGGTGGACGAAAAATATCTTGTACAAACACCTTTAAATTCTTTGAAGTTGAATTCTGTATTGAATGTTTTATTTAAACTTGCCCATATATTAGAATACCTAATCAACTTTCTACATCCACGATCTTGAATAATCTTGAAAGCTAAAGTATCATCTAGTTACAATAGTATAAATTGGGTAGGATTTTTCATATTATAAACAACATTATTAGTAATAGATTTCGGTAAATCCATTATTATAGCCTGAAATCTTTTGCATTCTTTATGCTATTTCAAAATCCAGGATGTAGGAAATTATTATACAGATATTCCTTCAAATAGAGCTGTTCAAATTCCATTATTCCAGTTCAGCAAAGCTCACTCATTGAAATTTATTGATACAGTTACTGTCAAATACTTCTTTTACATTTTGATTTTGAATGCAATTACTTGATCCCATTTTCTTAAGTTCATAAAAATATCAAGTTGTAGCATGGTGGAAGGGATATTATAAATAACTATTTCCTAAACATTAGTTTTATCTTGTAATGTATATCCAGTTATAACAGTCAAAATCTTTTTCTCTAATGTAAGTTTGAACTTCTTAGTCCTTTGTTACTGCAGTTTATTTACTGTACTACTTTTCATCAAAGTTTTTTGAGTATTCTTACTATTCTAGTTTTTCAAAGGAAATGGTGACGTAGGCTAAAAATTATCAGAACTAGACCTGATATGACCTTGACATAAGTAACACATTTTTTTCCTCTTGAAGTATATGGCTGAGCTTATACATTTAGATTCTTTAAAAATTTCCATTTTTGTAGATTAAAATCTGGATCTTATTGGATGCATTTATTATTGTTTATTACTCACATGATATCTTTTCCTTTTTTTCCTACAAAGTTTTTCATATTCCATAAAAAAACTCTAACCATAGATCTTTGAAGGTATAGAAAAGAAATACAAAACTTTGAAATATATCTTTAGATATACCCAGTTCCTGAAGTTCATCCTTGAAACTATTTTGTAGGTGCTCTAAACACTTGTATATCACAGGTTCCAGTTCTGAGATAGTTTGAAAAATACCAGTTATACTAATAAAATGGTAATTAAGCAGTATTTTTTTGAGCAAAAAAGCAAAACTTTCATCATCTATGAGACTGAGAAATATTCCCATGTCTTCTAACTAAGTTGGTAGCATTAGAACTCATTTTTTATTATATTTTTCATCAAAATATTATTGCTGAAATTTCATAAAAAAAATGGTCCATGTGATTGGTGGAAAGAGTTCACATATGCCATTTTTTGACTTCTATTTGATTATATAAAAATTAACTTATTAAAAAAATTAGTATTCAAAACCTCAAACTTCTCTAAGTAAACTTGCAGAGAAAGCAAAATTGCATATAGATTTTGATTCTGGAGAATCTATAGAATCTATATAGTACTTTTACTAAATTTTATTTGAAAAATAAAAACGGTGGATTATCATCCATTTTGGAAAGGATCAGCAAATCGATCACGTGACTGCGATTTTGTGAATTATTAAATTAAAGAATTTGTACACGATAGTGATTAATTAATCATAGTCCAAAAACTAACCATCGACACTTTAGTCGAGAACTATTCCTCCGTTTGAGGATTCTCTATATTACATGATAAAGAACTATTAAACTGTTTTCTTAATTGCTTATATTCTTGCTTTAAATTAAAATTTTTGGCTTCTAAATTCTAATCTATTAATACGCGTTCCACCTAAATGTTCTTTCCATGTTGCTCTGAAGAGCTAGTTCAATCATTCTTATTCTCGATATGGATGAAAAATTGATCATTAGAAAGTTTAAAATTAAAGTCATTATCATTTAAAGTTACTATAATTGTTATTACCTGTTTCATTTATTTCAACAACAGAAATCTCTAATAAAAATAACATGCCATAAATAAGTAACAACAAATTTGATTACTATCTAAAACATGGAATAAATACTACTGCTCTCACTTTCATTTCTGATTCTTCATTATTATCAATTCCTTTAAGGAGATCCATTTAGAATAACAAATTGAATTTTTTTTTTGATTTTAATATTTCACTCCTTCTTATAGTAGAATAATCATCCTTGCTAATAACAAGACTCCCCTTCCTTTTATGTTTGAATCTATTAGTACTTTATATATTCATATTACTAATAATTCTGTTAAATTTTCTTCGATATTAATTATCTTCTGAGCTATTATTACTTCCTTCTTTTCTTCACCCATTTTATTTCTTTCTTTATAGCCAATTATATTTTGTTTCATTAGGTGCTTCTTTATTATCATTACTGTTATTATTATTTGATATGAATATTTCCTATTATTAAGTTTTCTTCTTTTCCTTCATCGTGATAGTCACTTTATCCTTTATCCTCGCTTTTTTTAAGTTGCAACTATAGAGGAAATGATTTCTTCTTGAGTACCAATATATAGTATATGACTATATGCTAACTTTATTTGATCGCATTCTCAAACGAAAAATTTATTAATGTTTTGATAATCAATTTTTTAGCTTTATAATCGACCAATCACGATCGATGAAATCATGAATTCAATGTTTTTCGGAATTGAAATTCGACAAAAAAAATGAACTTGTCTAACGTTAAATTGCAATTTGCTTTGACTGCTTTAGGAGCAAGTCTTGCAACAGGAATAGCGATACTTTCCTATCAAGATCATAAAAGAAGAATAAGAGCTGAAGCGCTTAAAAAGGAAGTTAGCTTAATACCTAAAACAACTCGTAATATACATTTAAATGGCGAAGTAGCGTTTGATGAATCACTGATCAAAGAACAATTGGCAAGAAATATTGCCTTTTTAGGAGAAGAAGGTGTAGAAAAATTAAGAAAATCTTTTGTAATTATTGTAGGAATAGGAGGCGTCGGTTCTTGGGCTGCACTTATGTTAATTCGCTCGGGAGTTTCACATATTAGAATAATTGATTTTGATCAAGTAACGTTAAGTAGCTTAAATAGACACGCGGTAGCAACACATTCTGATGTTGGTACACCAAAAGTAATTGCATTACAAAAGCATTTAAAGGAAATTGCTCCTTGGGCAAAAGTTGAACCTATTATTGAATTATTTACAAAAGAGAGTGCTACTAAATTATTATCTGGTGATGCTAACTTTATTGTTGATGCTATTGATAATATTGATACAAAATTATTTTTACTTAAATATTGTCATGATAAAAAATTACCGGTATATTTATAATTGTTTAAATATTTGGTACTAAAAAAATGATAAATAAGACCTTTATTACTAAAACAAATAATTCTTAGATCATAAGTTCAATGGGTGCAGGAGCCAAAGCTGATCCTTCACGTATTCAGATGAGTGATATTAGTATCACCATTGGTAATGTTAACCCTCCTCTTTTTTGCGAGTTCGCATAATTCATTACTGAATATAATAATTCAATTTCATAGAGGATCCACTTGCAAGAACTGTTAGACGTCGATTAAAGAAAATGGGAGTTGATTCAGGAATCACTGTTGTTTATTCAACTGAGAAACCAAATGTTAAGTTATTGCCTTTAGGTTTGTTTTCCCGTAAACTTATTATGGTAGTATATATATATATATGTATTAGTGTTGTTTTATTCTACGATCTCTTTTCTTGTATATATATATTTATGCAGAAGAAAATAAAGTACAAAATGCAGGAGATTACGCGACTTTACCAGACTTCAGATCCCGAATCCTCCCTGTATTAGGTGAAGATCAACTTGATTTAATTTAGATTCATTTATTCATCGTTTATGATATATAGTTTCTTACATAAATTGTAATTTTAGGTACGATTCCCGCTATATTTGGTATGTCAATTGCCACATATATTGTAACCAAGATTGCTGGGCATCATATTGAACCATTACCAAATAAGAATCGAGATGGATTATATTCACGAATGCATCGTGACTTATTAAACAGAGAAAGGAGGAATAATAAAGAAGAGTAAGTCAAAATTTTACTTATCTTTGTTCCAAATGGATCGTTTAATTTAAAGAAATTCAAATTCTAGGGCAATTCCGCTAGATGCACGTGAAGTTGGATATATTTTTGAAGAAATTTGGAGAGGTAAAAGTGCTATTTCAGGTTCAGTTGAGAAACCTGCTATTGTTAAATGGCATAAAGACCAGCCATTAAATCCGCAAAATTGTGTTGTTATGACTAAAAAAGAAGCAGATACTCATGATAAACTTACTGTAAACCCTGAAGAGTATTATTCTCCTGATATTGTAAATTTAGTAAATGCAAGATTTCAAGAAGAAAAGGATATTTCTAATTTCCGGTGAATAAAGAATCAAAATTATTAAAATTTGATAAAATAAATTTTAAAATTTAAAATTTGTAAATTTAGTCTATAGCTAATAATAGAAATATTTTTATATGTAAATAATTTAAACACTATACTTATAAAAATTATAATTTTAAAAAACTAATTTTAATAATTATATAAAAATTAAAGTTAAAAAAAATTCTATTAGCAAATTATAATATAAATAAAATTAGGCAGTGGATTATAAATTAAGTCAAATCAGAATATTAAATTATAAAAGCTATCTGAGTTATTTGCTGAATATTCCAAATTAATTAAAAGCAAATAATTTTTTATTTATAATATTTTACATCATTATACTAGTATTTGTAATTTATTTGTATAGTAAAATAGTTCACACTTGCTTATATGTTATGGAAATTCCATTATTTTAAAATTATGTTTATAAGGCAATAATTTATTAATTAGCTGATAATTGTTAATTAATTTAATTTTACATATATTTTAAATAATAAACATTTACAGTATAATTAAAAGATTAAAATTCAAAATAATGTAATTGTAGCAACATATCCATTTTTCATTTCCTAATTAACAGAATTGTGAAGTTAAATTAGAAATCAAACATATATACATATAAAGAAGTATTAGAATTAGTATTTATACCTCGAAGACAACTCCATCATATCCACTTAGCTTTGTGGGCCCAAAAGGATTTTGACCACCTGCTCCACGGTTAAAAATTAAAGGTTGGCCGGAAGGTTGGCCTAATAGTTCTCGGATTTGATCCATCTAAAAATTTTGAATTAATATTACTTACTAAATACATCTATTTTTCATAATCTTTATTCAGTTTCTTACTTTCATTTCTGAAGTGATAAAATCGCCTCCAGCTTGTGATGTCGATTGATTGTCGTCGTCATCATCTCCAAGTACTTCTAATCTAGCAGCTGATGTTAAAAGAAATGTTAATGACCAAAAAAAAAACTTCTACATGAATAAAAATAGTTATAAAAACCTTCGTTAGATGTCTGTAAAGTAGATGGAGATTTAGGCAACACTATCTTATAAGGACACCGCTTATACCTATATTTGTATTATGTAATAAAAAATAATGATTAATTTATCTAAAATTGATTAATTAATATATGTCAATTAATTATTAATCATGAGTAATACCTTTGGAAGTCAAAATGACCAGGTACATTCCCATGCAACACAATTTTTTTACATCGATGTGTAACACCATCAAAGAGCACATCAAAACCAAGATGAAAATAATTATAAAAATAATCAACGGTATCTTGATAGGAATAAAAAAAAACAAATATTTATAATCGGATGAGATGATCACAAATTAATGTATTATGTAAAATTACCTCCTCGAGAAGGATCTTCAACACCAATTGATGAGGAATTTAAATCTCTACCATCATCACTTTCAATCACTTCATTTGCATTACTATCTTCTGAATGTATTCGCATCTTATCTTCTTCTTTATAAAAAATCCTGAGTGGTGATCCTATATCAACTAAAAGATCTTGCGGAGTAGTGACATTGAGAATGATTTCTGTGGAAACATTATTTGAATTATTTCTTGGCAAAAAATTGACAATAATTCCACGTTTTAACTATAGAAAAAAATTACAATAAACATTAAATGTTGACTTTTCACATAGAAAAAAAAGTATTATATAAATTGTAAAAGTATTATATAAATTGTGCAAAAATATTAACATTATTCATACTTCTGCTACAACACTTTCAATTTCACCAAATTCTCCCCCGTCAGCTCCAATACCTTCTGTATTTATACTCTTATGTAATGGCGGAGCAACTGCATTTCGAAAATTGGGTCCATGAAAAGTATATAAGCGAGTCAACAAGGGAGAAGTTCCATCAGGAAGCTCCATAGGGAGGTCTATAAAAACATTAATAGTAAAATTTTACCATATCATTTGACTATAAACACAACTTTATCAAAGTTTCAACATACCAGATGAAGAAACATAAGAGGATATATGCTTTTCGGGTATAGGGAAAACAAACGAAATACCCTATTGACATGAAAAATAAATTCGTTTAAACTTAAAAATATAGAAATGATTTAATTAAGTTATAATAAATAATTTAAAAACTAAGCAAATAGTCTATATGATTTATGATTCTATTGCTTACCGGATAATTCAATGTGTATTCCTTCTTTTCTTCATCGAGTTCTCCTGGATAGGTGGGTCTAAAGAATTTAAAATAGTGAGATAAATATTTATCTCCATTTATGAAGCATTTAAACAAAATAATTACCCAAAAATTTTATATATCGAAAGAAAAGTTGGTGCAACCTTGCTTGAGCTACAATATATTGACGTAATTGCGCTAAATATTCAATATTTAGTCGCTATAGGTTCAAAAAGAATTCATAGTCACTATACCTAACTTCGCTATCTTGATAAGTTAATCTAAGTTTTGAGAATTCAGAAACTTGAATTGATTTAAGTCGTTGCGATGCCCCATCAAATCGCATATGGATTCCGTTAGCTGGTAAAGATAGAAATACGTCTGTGGATATTGGTGCCTATTAAAAATAACGGTCATAAAAAATACATATATTCAACTACTGATATGATAGTCCTTAATATAACAAAATACCTCATCATCATACTTTAAATCTACAGAGGGAATAATACGTAATTGTTCTCTCAGAAAGTTGATAATATCCCAGATTGACGTACCTATAAAAGGAAGTTTTAGCTGTGTTTTATAAAAAAAACGTAGCGGTTTGAACTTGTTTTGCACCTAAACGAAACCATCCCAAGCTTTTTCCTGGCACAATGGATAAATCAAGCCTTTGTGGTTCGCGACGACTTTGAGCATCATGTTGTGAGTTGAGCATTATGTTAAGTTCTTTTCATCATGCTCATCACTGATAAATGATAATATATTTAAATGCACGTGATGTATAACTACTCGTACATCATGGGTCATTTTACCCTGGTATCGGTACATTATAGTAGACATACAAGGGTGGGTACTGGATTTTTAAAATATCGGTATATCTGATATAATACCTGGATACTTTATTTCTTTGGAAAAAGACATTATTTATAATAAATCAAGGCCTGGAAACTTTGGGTACAACTTTTATTCAACGTGCCACTCCAAGGATATGCCCTTCTAAGTGCACACACTCTCTCTAAGTGCACGTATTATATATTTTTTCTCTAAATACACCCTCTTACTTAGTCCCAAGTATATAGAGATCATATAAATTTTCTCTCTCTAAATGCACACCCTCACGTTTTTTCAAATTTTCATTATGGGTGCACTAAGAGCGAGTTGACTTCGGTATCTCCCTACTAGAATATTCGGGTACTTTGCATAAGATTCTCAAAAATCGATTTACCTCTCCACGTGATTTTGTGGCGTCTAAATTTTGATTGGCTTATAAAATTATCTTAAAAAAAAAAACAGACAAATATTTTCTTACAATAAAACCATTTAAAAAATATCGCTTTTACATTTAAAAATCTTTAGTAAAAATTGATTATTCCATGACCCATTCAACACCAATACATAATATTATTTATCCCAAAGTTTTTTTTTTACAATAAATTTTTTCACATAATTTTTTACTTTTATTTGACGCCACGCCAGATTCCCATTTTCTGCAGTTGACTCGTGGATCAAGAATTAAACTATTTTGATAAAAACTAATATTTGGGTAATTCTATATATGCTGAGACTTTACTTAAGCTTCTCAGACCTATTTTATTTAACCAAAGTACTGAAATTACGCTATAAATTTGAAAAGATAAAATATTAAAATTAATAAAATTAATACTATAAAACTATAAAATACGCGTTTAATTACGAGAGAAAAGAGCACTTACATGTATAACAATATAAAATTATTTCGACGTGAAAAGAGAAAAAGAGAGAAATAAATCGCGCCACGTAAGTCAAGTGGAAAGAAAATTATATCAAAAATCCGGTGATGTAGAATTTCTTAAAGCGTAGGACACAGCGTTCTTAATTTATTGTAACTTTCGCTATGAAGCTTATCATTCTCACAACTTCTACAAAATCAAGAATAACTAACGCCATATTTGTAATACTACGGTACTTCATGATTTATGTAAAGATCTACTAGCGTAAAATTATAAAAAATTATTAAATTATTCCATATTTTTGAGCAATAATTCTCTCGTATATTAAAGCATGTGATTTGATGAAAATTCAATAATTTAGTATGTATTAATCTACAATTAAGGTATCATGCGCATTACTGAAAAAATTAAAATTATGATTTTTATAAATAACCAAAAATTATTAACTAAATATTGTTTTTTAATCCCAATCATCATCATCATCATCATCATTTCCTTCCGCAAATCCAAGTATAGACTTTCGTTCTTCTTTCTTTGTTGATTCCTGTTTCGTAATTACTCCTATTATAAAGAATTCATTTTAAAACCCAATTCATTTATATAAATTCTATCTATAAAGAATAATATTTTGAACTTTACCACTTTGAGATAATCGAAATTCGAGAATTGCAGCTGTAAAATCATCAGTATTGCCGAGTTCCTCAAACCCAATGATCCTAAATATAAAATTAATATATAATGAAAAAAAATTTTTTTTCGCATATAAGTCACCTACCGATCAACCGAAATTCCATCCACAAATGCGACGACACAGGGTAATACTTGAATATGAAGTTTTTCTACTAAGAAAGGGGCATTTTCTACATTAATTTTTACAAATTTTGTTTTGAAATGTCGACGAGCGATTTCCTAATCATATAACAAAAATAAATCAACATTAACATAAAATTAAAACGCATTAGCTAAATTTAATAATAACATACCAAAAGATGTTTATCCATTATTTGACATCTACGGAACTCCTTATGAAAAAAATGTACCACACATAATTTAGCATTTGTAGTTATTTTGAGTATTTCTTTTTCGTTTGCAACTTCTGTATATAATCCGTGTTCATTTTGGCTCATTTCTTGTAATTTTACCATCCTATTTTTCATTAGAAGGTCCGATTTATAATTAATATCTTAAAAATTAGCTTTTCGGAATGATCCAATACATACTCTTTTTTTAATTGTTCCATTCTTTGTTCACGGAAACTCGCCAAAGCAAAATCATCATCTTTTTCTAATTCTTCAAATAATTCGTCATCATCTAACTCTTCGCCAATATTATTATTTTTTGCTTCTATAACTTTTTCAAGCACTTCTTGAACCCGTTCATCAACAGGTTCCTTTATTCTAAAAAGTTAAGAGTTATAAAACTTCACTATCTTATTTATGCGCTAAACACAAAAGAATATTTAAAATAACACACTGTTTATCGGTGTGTATGTCTGCCATCTTTGTTGGCGGAAAGGAATTGATCAAATAAAAAATAGAAATATTTAGTTAATTAATTTTTGATTCGTAGTTACCTGTTACACGAGAATCTCCGATTGAATTTTACTATTCATTTTTAATGTACGGTTTTTGATTTTCAACTATATACAGTTTAATCTGGATCTTTTTTAAAGTTCAAAAAAAAAATTCTTTTCGTGTGAAGCAAAACATGGCAGAAACAACTATTCAGCCAACTTCTCCAATCGAACGTTCTAATGAACAGTTTCCCGATTCCTCGCCTCAGGATAATAAGTATAGTCAACGGGAAAAAACGCCAATACAACAATCCATCTCAAATCTACAACAAACTCAATATCAACAATTTCAGTCACATGTAGCATCTCAATTTCCTCCCGAACAAAAACCACAGTCACATTTGCAGCCACCACCTCCAGGACAAGTACAATCACAACCACCACCTCCAGGATTATCGACACCACAACAATTACTGACACGTCCTCCAGAATTTATTGCGAACAAAATTGATGCGACACCGCCACCACAATTTCACGTAATTCAAGCTAGTTCGAGTTCATTAATAACCTCAAAAGGTGAAACTTTTACGTCGTCCAAACCAGCTGTTGTGGCTTCAACTACACCTCCAACTCCTACTTCTCAAGTTTCGACTCCAAAAAAACATTTACCCAAAAAGCCGTTACAGCCAATTTATTTGTTACTTCGGAAATGTCTTAAAGAGGTAAATAATAATAAATTTTTTTCTGAGATAGCTCAGGCAAAACATAATGATGGTGCTTAATATATGCAAAACTGAAAAAAAAAAATATCATCGTTGAATGGCTGTTATAGTATATCACTGGACATCTAACTACAAAAACTGAAGAAGATACAAAAGAGATATTCAACGATCGCAAGAAAATGCATTCTGATTTTCAACTTTATTGCACCGAGATTGTGCTAGCATCTGCAAGGGATCGAATTTTGAACGAATTAGAAGAAGTAAGGATAAAAATTCTAATTCTCTAATAAATCTTTTTTTTTTTTTCTAAAGCATTCGTATATTATGGCAGAACGACAAAGAAAGTTTGAAAGATATTAGCCCAGAATCAGATGTGAGTATAGTTTGATTTTATATCGTTTATTTACCTACTTTGACTATCTAAAGTCAAAATTCTATATAAAGTCAAAATTCTTATTATAACAATGGCTTTAGATTATAAAGTCGAAATTTGGAGAAGGTCCCGCACTATATAGAAGTTTTGTTGACGTAATAGAAGAACTTAAAACACAAAATCCTGCCTCGGCTGATGTTAATGCTGAAGAGAAATTAAGTGGAGAAAATGAGTCCAATGAACCTTTGGAAGATACGAACTGTAATTGTTGTATAGAATTTCTCTTGATAATTTTAAACTATATATATATTAATTATTTTTATATATATATATATTTTTCAGCACTTGGCCGAATTTTTCGGCTGTGGGAACAAAACAATAAAAATGATTTTTTGGGAATACCCAACATAAATCATTCCGATCAACATCGAAACCGTGGTAGAGGGCATAATCGAGGATATTGGTCACAACGAGGTGGCCCACGACATACACCTTATTCTAGTAGAGGAGGACGTTCTCGTGATTGGGGAGCGCGAGATGATAGAGAATTTAGAGAAAGGCGTCAGGATGATCATTATAGGGATCGTCGCGAAGATTATCCTCGAAGGGATTTTGATCGTAGACAAGAATTTCGCGGACCACCTATTCCCGCACCAAATTTCAACCGAGAGAGACCCCCAATGGGTCGACGGGATGATTCTTACCATCGTAATTATGATGACAGAAGAAGAAATTCATATGAACGTAGACCAGATGATAGGCATCCGAGAGACCAACGTGGCCCACCGCAACAGCACCCTCATCCTAAAGCTTCTCCGGCAATTTATGAAGCCCCCCCTATGCCTCCAATGCCGCCCAATGGACCACCAAATCCACCATTGCCTCCTCCTCAGCCTACTTATGATTATTCACAGTATCCACATGATTCACAATATCCACCTGGTAATACTTCAATTTATTATATTATTTCAATTTCTTAGTGCTTAACCTTATTATTCTCATTGTTAGGACCAGGATATACATCTGAATATAATTCACCAAGTTATTCAAATTATTACGGGTCATACCAAGATTCGCAAGTAAATGGGCACGCAGATCCTCCATATCAATATCCTTCTGTCTCGTCATCAACTGGTTGGGACTCTCAATCCACTCCTATTCAATCTATGCCGCCAATTCAGTTAACTTCTTTTAACTATAATCAACCTGGACGACATACTGCGATACCTCTTCCGACGTAAGTTATTTATTTCATTAAATTATTTCAATGAATAATATATATATATATATTAAGAGATTAATTTGTTCTATTATTAATTATGTTCAATTAAAAGGGACTTTATGTCTGGACCAAGTAACGCACCTCGGTTATCAATGCCAGAACCACACGATGTACTTGGAGTCATTAAAGGTGTGATTATACGAGATGCACAGGGCAACATCGGATTGAGTCAGTATCAATTCAACACGATGTGAAGTAAGTACAACTAGAAAAAAGGAGCAAAAAACAAATGAATAACTAATAGTAATTGATCATTACTATCACAATTTTTGAGGAATAAAAATTTATTAAATACGCATCAGAACTTATTTTCGATGACTTGTTGATCAAGGATGGCTTAAAAATTGATACAGGAGGAAATAAATATGGATTACATTTTACGAAATATTCTGATGAATTCATATTAGAAATAATATATATGAATGCTTTGGCATAGAATATCTCTGCAATATGCCGTTGTTTGTTTATAGAAATATCTGCTCTTTTGTTATTTTGCCATAAGATTAGCGTTATATTATACATTAGAATATTAGTATTAGTGTTATGATATATCTTATATCTTATCAGATGAATTGAAATATTTTTTTTTTGTCTATTTTTCGAGAATTTTAATACAGTCTTAATCCGGAATTAATTACAATTCAAAATAATTGTGGACGTTATTTTCTGATTAGAAAGCAAATAACGGATAGGAAATTATGATAGATGCATTACAAAAAGCATCATTATATTCACAAATACTTCTTTTCTTATAGGAGAAGAAAGCTACCGCGACGTTAACAATGTTAACAATGTAAGTAAACTATGATCCCGCTGATCTTACTGAGGTAAGTCACGTAAAACGTCTTGACACGTTCGAAGTCGTTAAGAGTGCATGTGGTGCATGTGACCAATACTTATGTAATATACATAATTGTTGATAATAACTATCACAACTAACATGTAACCGGTAAGTCTCACGGTCACGGAAGCATTAATAACCAAATTGTCGATTTATTTGTCATGTGTTAATATTCGTGAAAGTGCCAAATAGAGTAAAATGAAAAATCAATCACGAATAGTTGATAGTAAATTATATAATTTGTTTATTTTTTGGAATTCGATAAATTTCCGAACAGTTGTTTGTGTAAATAAAGTAATAAAATTTCGGAATTTCCTATGGAAACAAAGTGCATGAAAAGAATCGTAATTATATAATTATTAAGATAATCGATCTACAAAAGTGCATAATTTCTCTTAAAATTGAGAAGTTAATCCGGGTTCACAAAAAAATGTGATAGGTTATGCATGTTTCTATGAAATTTCGATATTAATTTCGTTATTCAAAACAAATACTAATATTAAATGTCTTTCTCTTTTACGCCATAATTTTTATTTGTTGGAATTTTATATACCGAAACAATTTTTTTGAGATAAATAAATTTTTAAAGTAAAAGCGTAACTACCATACACATAGATGTCATAGATGTGCCGGAGGATAATGTATAATGTGCATTAAATTTCGCCTCTGACAATTACGTCGATTTGATGAAACAAATTAGAAAATTTTTTATCTGTAGGCGTACAAAAAGAGAATGTGTTTAAAACATTTGCGGTTAATGGCTATTATTATTGATAATAGGTCAGCCAAAGTTAAATTTGGATATGCGCTGATTGAAGTATGACAGGTCTTACCCTCATTTCTGATATAAATTGTTGAAATAAACCAAAAACTTACACTGAGAAACTTTTTTTGTCATTTCAATATACACAATTATTTATTATAAGTATGACTTCGACATCAGAGGCAGTTCCTAGTTATAGAACTACCGTGTCGCCACCTCGGACCAATCTCAAAACGTCAATAACCCACCCCATCAAGTAAGTCTAAAGCCACACTACGTGACATAACTGTAGGATAGAAAAGTTTATAGACACAACCGTGTTTAATAGTTTAATATAATCTTTTTACCCAAAATTTTCCAGCATCAGTTGGATAGTACCAGAAGAATTAATTGACGGACTTACTTCAGATCCACTACCACCATCGACAGACCTTTTTGATATATATACTACAACTTCTCTTTACAAACATTATTATGACCAAGTACATAAACGTGCACACTCTGGCTATGGAGTTTCTCGTTCAACAACACTTGGTAACCTGGCGTTAAGTTCATGTCCTGGTAAAAAAGTCAGGCTCAGTGGGCCTGTAAGAGGCAGAGCAACAATCGATCGCGATCTAGATTTAGATTTCCAAAGATTGAAATCTTTAGATATATCGATGGTTGTATGGTAAACTTCTCGTTACGTTATAAATTCCACACATGATAATTTTTGACTATATATTTATAGGTTATTTTTATTTTTATATATACATTATATACATTTATTTTAGTTGTCTTAATGACGATGAATTGGCATTTTTGGGTGCATCATGGCCGAAATACAGCGAGTTAGCACAAAAACATAATCTTCAAATTATTAGGTATTTATTATTACATCTCAAAATTATAATTGTTTAATTGTTTAATTTAATTTTAAATAATTATAGGATTCCAATGATAGAAGGTGGTTGTCCAGATACATTAGAACAAATTGATTCTGTAGTAACACAAATAGATCGAAATATACAGCAGGGTCGAAAAGTTTTGGCACACTGCCGCGGTGGCAAGTATTAATTATGACCTTGTTCCTTTATTATATTTTACCAAATTAATCTATTTTATTTCTTTAGGAGTTGGACGTGCCGGTTTAGTAGCGTGTTGTTGGTTACTTAAGAGACGATTTTGTCTTGACGCTGATCGTGCAATTCGTTTAGTAAGGATGAGACGAAGTCCAAAAGCTATTGAAACTATGCAGTACGTTTGTTTCGATTAGTACTCCTTTTTTATAAAATCACGTATTTACGTTCTATTTATCTTATGATAGACAAGTGGATTTTATTGTACAATATGCAAATTACGTTCACTGGAGATTACAACCATCACCACAGAATACATATGAAGATACAGTAACCAATGAGATGGGTGATCTCAACATTATTGGACATAAAATATGAAGTTCTTTTATCGGCTAGTCTGTGGCTTGTTTAAATATAAGCAAACGACACCTTATTTATTTTTTTTTTTTATTTTTTTTTTTATAATTCAATTTTTTTTTCTCTTCCATCAATGTAATTATATTTTTGTATTTAATTAATACGAATAAGCTCAAGAAAAAATCATTTTATTTATGTTTTGCATATATCAAAAATGTTTTGTTATTTAAATATTAACTTTTGTCTCACTTTTATCCTTTAAAGGTTCTGGCAAAACAGACCTCAGTTCTTCTTTAATGTGTTTTGGATTAGCAACAATGATGCATTTTGATGCTTCTACACTACAAAGAGGAACGGATTTATCTACAATATCTTGATTTAAGAAAGTTAACCCTGTTGTTCTTTCTAAACTATCAAGAGTAACATTATATACTTGCAACGGTGTGGTATCGCTTATGCGTTCATTTGGCATTAGAAAAGCACCCAAAGCATAAAAGCGTTTTTTTGGATCATCCTTATCTGCCCTATCTGCCAAGATCACTTTATAAAAGTGTGTTGGAACTGCAATACTACCTATCATTTCATATTTTACATACCACTTATCATTTTCTTTCTTTGGTAAATATGCTGGTCCTGTGAATACATAAACGTTTTCAAAACCTTCTTTATAAATCAATCTCCTGCAAAATTCTTCAAAATGTGCCCAGTCTAATAAAAAGTGTATATATCAATTGTCTTAAAATGATATTAAATTTCTGAATTAGTTATTTTTACATACAATCCCTGTTAAATCCATTACCAACTTGCGGAGCTATGTTAGTTAAAAGAAAAGTTTGATCCATAGCTACTTGTGAAAATTTAGCATCACTAGCGGGTGCCATATGACCACGATCATATCCTGATTTAACATAATCGGCTAATCTAGCACGAAATTTTTCTGGTATATCTAGATCTTCTAGAAATCGAGATTTACTACGATCAACTCCTTCCCCTCGTTTCAATGATTCTTCTGTAAGATGTTCTAATACCTTTAAACAAAATTTTTTTAAATTTATTCACAAGCCAACATACATTTGTCTTTAATGAACTTACCCAATTTGGGTGACGTAATCGTCGATTATAAGATGTAATGTATGCATCTCTTTCAAATAAATCATTAATTGCTACGTTTTTGTAAAAAAAGGGTATTGAAATAAGGAAAAGTTATTCGTATTATTGTGTGTGCATATATTTATTTCATGGTACAGTGTTCTTACCACAATGAGAACTTACCAGTGTCACGCCATCCAGTCCAAGGAAATTCCGGTACTATTGACGTCAACGGCGGCTTCAATGTTGGAAGTGGAGCTGGAAGTTTAGGTCCTAACTTTTCATACTCGTACAATCCAATTGCCCCTAAAAGTGCACCACCAATAACAAAAGAAATACGTTCAACCGTTCGTCGAAACATACGCAAATTTGAAATTTATCTGTATTATTATTTGTGAAGTTATTTGTGTGTATTTTTATTTTCGTTATATTGTCGCAGGTTACATTAGCACGTGGTTGGATAGACGATCGATGTAGTTCCGTAATTCCGAAGGAAAAAATGAAAAAAGTTCATGCGAATTTTCTATTATAGTAAAAAAAAAATATTTTCCATTTGGAAAGAATTAAAAATTATCTATTGTTTTTGAATGAAACCTTATATGGAGAGAATAAAAGCTTGTTATAAAGGAGTATTTATTTTCTTTGTAAAGGATGAAATAAATGAAGACGGAAAAAGTTTAATATTTTATATTTCACAAATTAAATAAAAAGGTTTTTTTTTATTGAATCAGAATCATGCTGGTTACACTTGAAAAGCATTGTGAAATCCTTTTTTTTTGATTTGTATGAAATATTTTTTTATGCAGGGTTTTCTTCGTCCTCTATAAAGTATTGTTTTTTAATGAACTCGTTCGTTTTCCATTATATCGGAAAAATTGAAACTTATGTAATGGTGCATTTTATCTTATCACATGACATCAACAAAAGAGAGAAATACGAATATTTAGCAAGAAGCAAAAATAAAATTTTAATTCTTTTATTATGCATCAATCATCTATAAGATCTAACTAAAGTGGAATGTTTATCCGTTATTATTCGAAGAAACTTGTTTGTGTCACGTGACACCAATTTTCTTGTTCAGGGCGAAGAAGCCGTAATAGCCATAGCAGAACTCATTGTTGCTGCAGTATTGACAATAAAATTATCTGTGTTCAATATCATTCCTAAACCACCTTCTCTTGTGGGAATCATTGGTGACGTAGTTGATTTTTTGGGCGAAGTTGAAGTCGAACCAGAGGTTGAAAGAGAATCAACTTCACTTTTCCGATTCTTTGTAATCGAATCCTTTTTATTTTTATTCAATGAACCTTTTGGTCGACCTCTATTGTTGCCTGAACTCTTTTTCGGTCTTTCAACATCGCGTTTATTTTCAGAGTTATCATCATCTGGAAATTTTGCCGCTTCATCTTCGGCTCCTGAATTAGTCTTTATTCTCTTCTTTGAGGATGACTCTGATGTTGATAAACTTTTCTTTCTAGTGTTTTTTTGAGAAGCTTCTCCATTGTTATCAGATTTTTCTTCATAATTAGATTTTCTATTAGACTTTATAGTAAAATTGGTTATTTTTGTCTGTTTAGTTTTAGTTTGTTTAGCTTGTTTCTTTTCTTTTTTGGATTCTTTCTCAACTTTATTTTCTATATCAACGATTATTTCTTTATGTTCCTCGTTTTCTTTAAATGGACTACAATTACTTCTAATATATTCAATAACTGGATCCGGTGTTTCAAACTTGCCAGCACCATAAAATCCTGGATGAGTTCCTGGTCCAGTTAAAGCATAAAATTGAGGTTGAGGGCGAAGTTCGCGTTCTAATTTAACTAAAAATCCTTGAGTTTCAGTAATAATAAAATCTTCTAGAGCATTTTCATCTTCCAAAGGATAATCTATATCCATACTATCTATTTTATTAATAAAAGTATTTGTTGAAGGAGGATTTACTAAGTCAGGAAAATAGATAATATTATTTGTTTCGCGACTCGATAAAGTTGAAACTTCAAAATTTTGCGTGGTTTCCATCTTTTCGTTCTTTGGTGTCCTCTTTAACAAAAAGAGTTGAGAAGTATGAGAAAGAGTTTGATGAATGCGGAAATGGAATTTCATTCAACTTAAATAAACTTCATTTCAGTGGCTTAGCAAAGTCTAGTATGTGTAGCGCGATATTTAAAAATTTTTAATTCATGTGATTTATCTGCGCTTACTTGCTTTTGATAGAAATTTAAATTATGCGTAATCTCCTATTTTTTTAGTCTCAATTGATCACCCGAATTTAAATCTTTTTTTTTTTTTTTTTGACCTAATGTTTCATATTGTTTTTTTTTGAGTTATACCACATGTTTATCAATTTGAGTAAAGAAGGTAAATTCAAAATCTATTATATTAAAAAAAACCCAAAAAATAATTTATATATCACCATTTACAGAACCAATTAAAAAGATTTTTGTGAATAATCATGTTTTTATTGATTTCGATATTTAAGTTCGCATCTGCAGTGTTTCTAATCTAAATCATAGATTTGTCTCACACAACACGCTCGCAAAAATAACGTGCTCATGTGCGTCAGAGATACATATAATACATTTGGTCATGGCGCAGTAAGAATTTTCTCTTTTAAAAAGATATATATTTGTATAAAATATTATTTTTTATCAGGGATTAACGGATTGTTATTTTTTAAATCAAACTAATTTTTTTAATAAATTTTAAGTACTATGCAATATCTTTATATTTTGCATTTATACTATTTATTAAACTATTTATTTTCTTTAATACTTTATAAAAGCACTAATAATTTTAAAGTTGAATCACAAAAAGATTAACAACACTTTTTATAATACTTATTCATTTTTATACTTTATTTTTTCAATTTTTTATTAAAATAATATAATTAAAATTAAAAAAAAACATATATAAATATATTATGGTAAAAAAGTAAATATATTAATTTATATATTATTATAAATCTTTTATTATACTAAACATTACTCATAGTTACTTTTATTATAAAGTAATTTTCAGTTAAATTTAATTATATAAAAGCAAAAGACTTTACTTATTATAATTAAAAGTTGTCTTTTATATAATCAATTTTTAAAATATATTAATATTATAGTATTAGTACAATCTATGTATAGGTTAGTATCAAAGTTTACTTATTGATCATATAAAATTTCTTATTTCAGAGGTATTTTAAAAATTTTAAACTACTTACCACTATTTTTTAACTAATTAATAATCCAAATTTGTTGAAATTTATACCATTAAGTTTGTCTTAATAAGAGAAATCCAATAACAATAATTTTATTTTTCTAGCTTTAATATTTACTGAGATATAATACAGAGTAATTTTTTAAATAAAAAATGTTTGGAATCCTATATTAGTATTGTTATTATAATTTATATTATAAAAATATTATTAATTTTTACAAATTATTTACCAATAAAATTAAATTCATATAATATATTATACATGCTACCCAAATTATTTTGGGATGCCATAATTATAATTTGAGATGCCATAATTCATTTGGTCTATATATAATTTACTATGTAAAGTGCCAAAATAATTTGGGATGCCATAATTGAATTTGGGATTTTACTTATAATTACGGCAATCCAAAATAATTTGGGTGGCATGTATATAATATATATAATTAACTATATAATTTACATTTACTAATAATTTGTTATTATAATTAATTACAGTTAATTCTCTTTAACTCTTTAAGTATATACTTTTTAAATATATATATAATATATAATCCATTTCAGAATAGATACTACTTGCCTATTTTAGTAATAATAAATATTTTTGTAATATGAAACATTATTATATATCTATTTTAATAAATTGAAAAAGTTGATTAAATTGGTTTGAATAATATAAAGATTATTTTATAAACAGTAGAAAAAATCTGAAAATGCTGAAAATTCTTTTATTTTACATATTTGGAAAATCCAAAGAATTTTGCAAAAAAATAAAATTATGTATTTTTTCCTAATAGTTTTCAATGAAATTTGCCAAAATTTTTTATTAATATATGCAAAAAAATACGGATAAATATGTAAAAATAATAATAATTAGTATCTTATTAATATAGGAAAAATAAAATACATAAACTAGAATTTTTATGCTAAATTACACTAAATTATATAATACTTCTCTATTTTAATTATTATATAATAGCAAGAAAACTATGAAATTTAAATTGATATTTTATGAAAATTAAAAATCATATTGATAATTATTATCTTGTATTATAATAGTAAGGGTTACAATTTATTATTACTTTTAAACTCAAAGTATTATAATATTACAGTAGTACTTATGATTTTTCAAAATTTCCTTTTTTGAAAATAAAAATTACAAAAATAAGTTTTGCAAAACAGATATCATTACAAAAAGAAATGATTGACATACTATATATATTTGTATAATTGGCAATAATTATAATATTATATAATAATTACAATACTAGTAGTAATTATACTATATAATAATTATAATACTGTACTATCTAGAGATAAAGAATTACCAATATTTATATTGTTCTTAATTTTACAATTTATGCTGAAAAAATTAAAGGAAAAATTGAAGGAAAATTTGGTACAATTTTGTATTGAGTTTTAATATTTGCATTAATAAACTTTTGCTTATGATAGTAATATTTCTTAAAGTATAATAAATGAATAAGAAGTATTACATAATATAATATATTTTTAAAAAAGGTATTTAAATTTAATTAAAATAAAAATATTTTGATATTCTATTTGTATTTTTTACTAAAATATTTAAATATAATTCTTTACCAGCAATCTAAATTCTAATAATACCAAATTAATTGCTTAACAGTTTACAAATAATATTAACAAAACTTATTTTATCTTAAGTTTTTTTTTTATAATTTTAGGAATCATCTTCTTTTTAAATTAATAATACAATAATACATAAATTCAACATAAGTAAATCTCTAAATAAGTCAGTTTTGTATGGTATTTTTTAGTTTAAATAGAAACTGAAACTAAATGAAAATTAAATTAAGAATCCTAAATATTTTTCATCTAATTTAATAAAATACATATAATTAAATTTTTAATTTATAATAATTCAGCTAATATTAATAATAAAAATGTAATTTTACTATTATTAAATTCTTTTCATTGAAGATGAATTCAATAATATAAAATTCATTAGTAGATTATTTAAAAATAAAGGTATATAGAATAAGAAAATTTATAAAATATTTTTAAAATAAGCAATTTTTAAAAATTTTATATAAATAATAAGCAACTTTTATAACTAATCTATTTATATATTGTTTGGGATTTTCTAAATCAGAATTGTTTAGTTCAATTCAATTTTATGATATATGAAAATCAAAATAATTTAATAACCAGTATAAATCATACAAAAATCAACCATAATTCATTAAAATTATTTTATTAAAATATTTTTTTTTTTGTTAAAAAAAGCAAAATAAAAAAATGCTAACATACAACTAACTTTTTAGCAATAAAAAAATATAAAATACAAATACTTTTATTATAGAATTTAGTGTTTAAATAAATATAGAAGGGTTAGTATTTTTAATGCAAAACTTAATATTTTATTAAGAAGGAAAGAAAAGTAATTAAATTAAAAAGTAAAGTAGTAATTAGATTATAAAATAGTAGTAAAATTATAATAATACAAAATCATGAATATCAGAAAAGATATAAAAAAATAATTAGAGCATAAAATAAATAGGAAATAAATAGATTGATGAATTATAGAATAGTAATTAAATTATAGAAATTAGATTATAAATAGTAAATAGAATATAGATGTTAAATATTATAAAATAGTATTTAGGTTATTTTAAATTATAAAGTGATACTCAAATTATAAAGTAAATTTAGATTACAAAATGGTATTATTATTGGTATTATTATAAGTTATAAGATTCTGCTTACTTATAAGATAGATTACTGAAAACTTAAAGTAAAATTTATAATTGAGAATTTTTAAAGATCCTATTATATATAGATAAATTACACCTAAAAAGAAAATATTATATTAAGTTGTTATAATTTTTTCCTTTTTAAATCAATTAATCAATAAGATCACTAATAAAATTACTAGTAAATTTAAAATTTTTTCCAGAGACTTCTATTAGAAGTAGATGAGATCCTATTATTATAGAGTAGTAATTGTATTATAAAGTATACTATAACTTAATCTAAGTGATAATATATCATTACTTTTAATTATAAAATTAAAAATCCAAAAACCTAAAAAATAAAAAAAAAATTAGCAATAAAAAGCAAAAAATAAAATAAAAAAAAAGGAAATATATTTAAAAATTTATATATATTATATAGTTATTAAAGGAAAAAGAAATATAATTAAAAATCTTTAGATATTATAATCTAATTAGTTGTAAAATAAAATCTAAAAAAAAAATTAAAAAAAAAAAATTAAAATATTAAAAAAGTAAAACAAAATAAAATAAGAAAATATAATTATTATTACTAAAAAATAAATTTTTAAATAAAAAAAAAATATGTTTTCTAATAAGTAATTTGTTTTATTTTAATTATTGATTTTATTAGATATAATAATATAATATCATAATAAATAAGTATAAATATTTACAATTAGTAATATTATAAATAAAATATTGTTTTTTTATAATTACATATAATTTGTATTATAGATTTATTAATACTATCAAACTAAAATTTATTTATATAATTAATTAATTAAAAAATTAAAAAAATAAGTTTACTATAAAATTTATTATTTAAAATTTTTTATATAAGTATTATATTTAAGATATTGATGATTATTACTATTTAATTTTGGCTAAAAAATTACAATTTGTCTAAAGTTTAAAATACTAGTTTATAATTTTAACCAGAGTTAAAAATACTAATTACTTAAATAATAAATATATTAAAAATATAAAAATATTGATTTGATATTAACCATTGAAATTTTTATTATCTAAAAAATAGCCTTATTGATTTTAAACAAATTTCTTTTTCTTGTAAATTTACATATAAAATAACTATTTAATATATGTAGTCAATTATTTAATTTAATATTAATCTTATAAAATTTAAAAATTAAACTGGTAAAAATCACCAGTGGTGACATTTTGCCATTTTTTATATTTATTAATAAAAATATATTAAAGTTTATTAAATTTATAGGTATATTTTTAAATATTTGCAACTATTATTTTTATATATAATATATATTTTATTTCAATAAATTACTAATTATAATTATATTTTTCTATATAAGTAGATTTAAATTAAATATAATAATTAAAAAGAAAAATTGTTAAATAATCTAATATTTTTTTTTTTTATTTTTTATCCAATTTATATAAATTATAAATATATTTTATCAAGTTAAAACAAATAGAAAGAATTGAAAGTTACATTAATACCTTTTAATTCCTTAATTGATTTTTCAAATATTATTTATAAAGAACATTATTTTAAAAAAAATTTATTGTATTTATATTCAAAAAGTTGTTTTCAAATAATTTTTTTATATAAATAAATTATTTATATTTTTTATTCTCAGCCAATATAAAATTCAACATTCAGCAAGACCTTGTTTTAACAATATAATTTTAATAAATGAAAAATAAAAAATCTAACAAATTTAATCTTCCATTTCCTCATTAAGTGAATCCTAAAGAGAAAAAGAATGGATAAGATAAGATAAGTACTTATTAAAAAATAATTATGATAAAATAATAAGAGTAAAAAACCTTTGCCAATCTTTCAGCTTCTTCTGCAATATCTTTAGGTACGAATTCATGTCTTTTTGTCTCACTTGTAATCCAACTTAATTCTAATTCAAAAGCTTTGTCTTTAGCCTCATCATGAACGGTATATATACTATTTGTAATAAAAAAAGATTTATAAAAATGATCATAATCAAATCATATTATAAATTAAAATGAAAAACTTACATTTTTGCAGCCGCGTTTACAGCTTCTCGAAGTGATAGCTCAGAAAGTTTAAGTTTCTCAATTTCTGTCTTTGCCACTTGCTTACCTTTACCAATTGCACAACCATGATACCCCTAAAAAAATAGAATATCTAAATTAATGCCAAGAAAATCAAATTTTGAATAATTTTCATACATAAAGTTTTTGTTAATCTCACCCAATATACACCAGATGGTTCAATCATATAAAGTTGTGGTCCTTCTTTATCAACAGTACCTATAATAACACTGCTACCAAATGGCCGAACACTAGAGTATAATGTATACATTTGTACATATTGACCCACTCGATCAGCAATTGTCTATATTCAAAAAGTAAAAGTTATTAAAAAAAATATGAATATTAAAAAGAAAGAAACATTTGATTGAAAATACCTTGCCAGGAATTTGAGTTTTAAATATATCACGATGACTCTCTGCTTCATCCCTAGCTCGATTGATAATATGACGACCATCTGCTAACAAACCGGCTGTTGCCTAATGTCATTAACACACTTTAATTATAGATATATATATAAAAAGCTAAATATGAATCACAATTACTTACAACGCCAATATGAGTATCAACAGTTTGAATTCGACGATTTGATCCTGGTACCAACAATTTTGATTGTACAAGTTTTTCAACTGCCAATACTACGCCACCTTCAACGCGCAAACCAATCGCAGTTCTATTTTACCAAAAAAAATTTAAAAATGTTACTATGGTTGGACAATAGAAGATATATAACTTGTTAACAACACATGGAAATAAGACAAAAAATAAAGCACCCGCTGTTATCAACAGCTTTTGCAGCATATTCAACTTGAAAAACGCGACCGTCAGGTGAATAAGTGGACACGGAAAGATCGTACTGTATAAGAGAAATGTGAGTAATGCTCGAAAGCCATATAAACAGGAAAGAAAAAAGTCTTCAATTGAGAAACTTTACACCGGTTCCAATTGAACTCATTCTGAATGCGTGTTGGAAGTGGTTTTAAGAATCAAAAATCGCCAAAATGCTTTTAGAAAATTTTAATTCAGATTAGATTACGTTAACTTAAGGTCTACGTTTCCTTGTTGCACGTTGTAGATCATCTGCAAAATGAGATGATTACATAATTGATAATAAATGACTGCGGAACGAAATTCAGGCACCTCCATTTTCTGGGCGTGGTGTGAAATCTGTGCCAGGTTAGCGTCGATCCCGATGACAAATAACGGTGACAAATAAATTATTGGCACAAAAAATTCTCTGTCCCTCAAATACTTAGTGTTTTTGAACTCGTGGCTGCACGTGATCAGGTGACGCGTAAACATCACCATTCCTATTATAGAGTAGGGTGTTCAGGATGGGTTGTCGTGATGGTCTAAAAATCGCGTGTGATTTTCACGATTTTATCGCGAAAATCGCGATTATAATTTTGGCCGAAATTAACATAATTTCGACCAGAATTAACATTAAAAAACTTACAATTTTTATTTTTATTATTTTATTTACAATTTTTCGTCTTTACAAAAATTTCATCTATAAACTATTCCCTAACTAGCAAATTAATATCAATATTACCATTCAGATTAAAATAAAGAAAATTAAGCATTTTAATGCTTTCTTCTTTAAGTGCCACTCTTCTATCCGATAATATACTTTTGTAACTAGAAAAACTACGTTCAATATCTACACCAGATACTGGTAACCATATATATCTCAAAGCTAATGAACTAAGTTCTGGTAATAAATGTGATTTACCTCGCCAATATACATCTAAATTTTCAAATTCTTCAACAGATTCATTTAATCCACAGTAAATACCCCATTCTTGTATTAAAATATCCATAGGAAATTGAAATTCTTCAATAATTCTATAGTCTCCCATATTATGATGTGCCGTATTGGACTGAATAAATCTTGGATCAAAGCATTGTATCGCTCTAAATAATGGTAAAGCTGGATGATTAGATATATGTTTTTCACACTTTTCATAAGCCAACACAAAAGCCTTAGAAAATAATGAGATAAATGGTTCTCTATCATAATTTCTTTCATTAAAAATTTGTTCTATTTCATTTGAAACTGGAGGATTCCTTCTTCCTGATGAAAGAAAAGCTTGAAGGTTTATTATTCGTGAATAAACAAAGGGAGCTATAGCTTTGTTTCGTATTTTAAAGAATTCCAAATCATTAAACAATCTGAATAAAATTCAATAAATGATAAGTATAATAAAATTAATGAAGTTATAGCTAATAATTTATTTTCTTACCTGCCACAATTGTATGTAATAAAAAATATAAAAATTTCAACATATGAAACATGATCATGATGTTCACAAAAAGTCTGAAGATACCGGATAGCTTTTGAATCATGATTGATAGAATATTCTGTATTAATAAATGTAATTACATGAGGATATATAGGTTTGATCCAATATAAAAATGAAAACCAGGAGTTCCACCGCGTTTTCACAGGTAATGGAGCTAAAGTAGGAGATTCAACATTATTTCGCAGTAAATGCTCCTTCCAACGAATTTTTCTTTGTGAATTATAAACAAAAATTGCTTTGAAATTAGAAACCAATCTGTCAACTAATTCAAATTTTTGAAAATCAATCCAAGTTTCACCAATTAGATTAAGGATGTGTGCCAGGCAACAATTGTGTTTCATTTTTGGTAAAAAAGGAGATAAATGGGAATATGCCAATTTCATATATGAAGCATTGTCAGATATAAAAAAAATAACGTTTTGATAGGGAATATTATATAGATGAATTGTATCTATAACAAATTGAGAAATCATTGAGGCATTAACATTAGGTATAAAATTTGTTCTAGCTAATTTAGTTTGATTATCAAAACTAAATAAAATATTAACAGCGTGACGACCACAACGGTCAGTAGTCTCATCAATTGTTAAGCAAATACTTTTGTTAACTATAACTGTCTTCAATTTTTGAAATTCTATTTCATACGATAATGGAAGATATTTTTCACGAAGCTGATTTGCTCCAGTAATTAAGCCTCCTATAAAAATAAAAATGCAAATGGAAATAATTATATAAGTAAATTATTGTAATAAAGTAAAGTTAGTTTAATTTAAAATATAAAATTCATACCGTTTTTACAATATTTTAGTAAAAATGGTTTTAATTTTTCAATCTTCTCTAAAGGAATATCTGCAGATGTGAAAGCAGCCACTACATCAGTATTAACTCTTTCTCTTTCACTTATTGTATTTTCAAATGATGGTATAGTTCTTTGAATTGGTGAATTAATATCGGTAGTTTTATTCTTAAGGTGTTTTACTGTATGAAGATGTTTATCTACAGTATCTTTTCTTTTATGTTCAACTCCTTTATTGCAAAATCGACACCACAGCACATTGCCTTGTACAATATAATTCTCTCGATACTCTGCACTTTGTGACAAACGTACATGTGGAGCAACCATTTTTATAGAAAAAAAAATTAGAACAAAAATGGTTAGGATTAGAAATTTTTTTGGCTAAAAAAAAAGATTTTATTGATCGTCCAATTGAAATCAATAAAGATTATCCAATCAAATTAAAAAGTCGTGAAAATCGCAAATTTTTGTTAAAAATCGTGACTGTGATAAAATCGCAAAAAAATTGCCAAAATCGTGATAAAATCGTGATCAACCCATCCTGGACACCCTATTATAGAGGTCGTCTAAAGCGGAGTGTCCTTAAAATAGACCGGGGTTCAGGTTCTTATCCTAGACCACAACTGTATTAATCACATGACGATTACTCTGAAAAAACTTATTGATATAGGGGTTTAGGATAAAGAACCTGGACCCCGGTTCAGAATAAATTTGTTTTCTAAAGCGGATGCAAATCACGTGACTTCAAAAAAAATGTTTTCATAAAATAAAACTTTTTACCATATATTCAACCATTCTAAACACACATTTTAAATGCATTTTTGCCTGCTCTGCAAGTTTACTTAGAGCGCAGAGTAGGGTTTTGAATGCTGTTTTTGATTTATTTGACTTTTTCAATTTTGTTATCCATTTTTGGATATGATTGGCAAAGTTTCGTTCATTCATATGTAAGGTCAAAAACAATATTCAAAATCCACTTTTTTCTTTAAGTAAACTTGCAAAGCAGATAAAAATACGCTTATATTATGATTTTAAAGTTTCTATTAATCTTTCTTTATAAAAAATTAATCTAATTAAAATTATACCGAATCATGTGATTTGCCCCTGCTTTAGATGACCTCCTATTATAGAAGTGATCAATACTAACCTGGCACAGATTTCAGACCAGCAAAAAACCAAGTCGCTAAGATAAATATAAACAGCATGTTCTGCACAGTTATAGGTTAATGACACTTAAATGTTACACCCTATAATGAGCATAATAAAATCGTGCTCAGAAAATGGACATTACGTTCTTTGATGTAAAAGTATTAGACTTGATCCTTCTGGGATGTCATCTTGATTCGCTATATACTATACATGCCACCCAAATTATTTTGGACTGCCGTAATTATAAGTAAAATCCCAAATTCAATTATGGCATCCCAAATTATTTTAGCACTTTACATAGTAAATTATATATAGACCGAATGAATTATGGCATCCCAAATTATAATTATGGCATCCCAAAATAATTTGGGCAGCATGTATACTCTATACATTGTCAATCACATATATTTTACAATACTTCATAAATAGAATCGATAACATGCATGCAGGAGGTCATGTTAACACCTTAAGTCTGATACTTTTGCTTTTGCTTATCAAATATGTATGATTATGTATAATAAAAATGTTCTTTTCTTAATTTACAAAGACATTAACATATTGTTATTTTTCTTATTTCCATATTTTTTTAAGGGTTATAGACACAAAAAGATTGATTAATCGAAAAAAATAATATAGTACTTATTTTTTTATCATTAATAATTAATGACAAAATAATTTATATTATTTTTTTTATATTTTAATATTTAGTTTTATATGGTTGTAGTTTAATATTTATTGCCTAATTAATGTACTTTTCTTAAATGTATCTATTTATTAGCTATCTTTTGTAAATAAAATAAAATTATTTAAATTTTATCAATATTGTAGAAATAAAAAGTATTAAAACTTAAAAGAACAGCTCTATTTTTTTTAAATAAGAATATGATAAAAATAAAATATTTGTTTTTTGCCCTATAAAAAAAAATTTTACTTAAAATATATTTAAAATATATTTAATTTTCTTTAAAATATACAGTTGGCTCTCGATATAATGAAGTTAGTGGTTTGGCCAATCAGGCCTTCGTTATAAGAAAATTCGTTAATAAAATATAGCGAATTTCGATATAATGGGAAAATCTGGTATAACATATGAAACTTTGGTATATTGTGGTATATTATGATTTCTTATGTTATGTACAACGTATGTTACACAAAATATCTTCGTTGTATTAAAAAAAGTTCATTATAAAAAGAAATTCGGTATAAAAAGAGTCATTTTATTATGTACAGTTTATAGACTTACTTCGTTAAACGGTATACAGCAT